GGAGCTGGAGGAAGTGTCTGGAGAGAGGGAAGTCTGGGCATCTTTGCTTAGACTGCTGCCCCCGTGACCCGGTCCCGGATAAGCGGAGGAAAATGGATGGAATGGATGTAGGCAGTGCTTTTCTGAATACAGCTCCATACATTACTGTTCATCCCATCTCATGATAAGAAGGGAAAGATAACAAAGTGAATATCATTTGCTTGTCAAATTAAATTTAGAAGATGGCATAAGCTCTTGGTGAAAATCATGTCATCTCTCAGTCCAAGGAGCCAGTTTTTCTGTGATATTCATGTTATGGTTTAGTCCCCCTCACCAGGAGGGTGAGGGAGAACTGGGGTTGGCTGACCCAGGTGCTAGTACAAAAAAGGTGGTTTAATGGAATAAAAACAACATGACAACAAAACAGGGTCCATAATACATACAACAAGGGAAGGGCAGTGATGACTAAGGAGACCAGGACGGTAAACACACAAACTAACGGCAGGAACTAGAATAGCAGGAGGATGAGAACGGACAGGTGTTCAAAAAGAACCAACATACACAATGCAATCCACAGCACAGCGACTGTCAGTGTGGAAGACAAAGCACGTATTTCTGTGTTGCTAACCGCATAATTAGCGTGATAAGGTCAAGCCAAAACGCACAGAGACTGTCAGCGTAGCATCTTACACACGTCTAAAAAATGCGGGTCAAACACAACCTTTGTATAACTTATTTTAAGTATAGTACGTTACACGTTGCAAATGCTCCGGCGACAACGGGGCGTCTGCCAGAAGTATAAATAAGGAAGCCAACAAATCACTGGAATACGCCTCAGGTGTGCGCACTGACCCACGAGTCACTAATAACCCGATGCTACACAGCTGAGGATGTTGATCCCGCAAAAAGGGAGTGCAGGAGAGGGAAAAAAGAAAGAGAGGCAGGTCGTGCCGAGCGGACCTGACAATTCGTGAATATAATAATCAGGAATATTAGTTTCTTTCTGAGGCGGACAGGTGAAAGCAAAAAAAGTTCCAGTGGAGTTAAAAATGGCATTTGTTTGCAGATCATATCCAATAAAGCTCAGAACATTTCAGAATGAATAAGCATAAACTATTTGGATAGGAACCTAAGTGTCAGTGTGTGTATGTATGTGTATCTGTGTGTAAATGGAAAAGCTATGAGTCTTATGGAAGCAAATCATCCTATTTTTGAGCCATATGCCATGTAACTAACCATTAATTGTTTGGTTCCAGGTCTTCTTGGTATGGTGGCTCATGTGATGTACACACAGGTCTTCCAGGTCACCGTCAGCCACGGTCCACCAGACTGGAGGCCTTACAACTGGGACTATGGCTGGTCCTTCTGGTAAGATTGCAGAAATACACAGCCGAACTCAAAGACCATGGTTCTTTAATCACTATCAGATCATATGTGTTATTTAAACCACTACAAGCATACACCCCTCCACTGGGATCCATGAGATGAGGGATTCCAGCCCTGAACAGTCGGTTGTAGGTCTGCTCTCACCTCTCCCTGGCATCACTGTCTCTAATGAAAATAGCCCAAAGCTCTCATGTTTTGGTAGGATTAGGCTTTGGTGTCCAAAGCCCCACTAGAGGAGTGATTGGACTTGCATAAGGGGATAATATTTCACTCCTTTACAATGTGCATGGTATGCTGAAAATTCATTTTAGAGACTAAACAATTCTAGACCATTCGTGGGCATTAACCGTCCTGTATAAAACAGACATAAGACTTCTTTGTCAGCTCTCACATGTGATCCGTCGTGCCTGAAAGAAGTGGTGGGATTTGAACTGGGGTTGGACTCAAGATGGCTGACCCAGGTGCTAGTACAAAAAAGGTGGTTTAATGGAATAAAAACAACATGACAACAAAACAGGGTCCATAATACATACAACAAGGGAAGGGCAGTGATGACTAAGGAGACCAGGACGGTAAACACACAAACTAACGGCAGGAACTAGAATAGCAGGAGGATGAGAACGGACAGGTGTTCAAAAAGAACCAACGTACACAATGCAATTCACAGCACAGCGACTGTCAGCGTGGAAGACAAAGCACGTATTTCTGTGTTGCTAACCGCATAATTAGCGTGATAAGGTCAAGCCAAAACGCACAGAGACTGTCAGCGTAGCATCTTACACACGTCTAAAAAATGCGGGTCAAACACAACCTTTGTATAACTTATTTTAAGTATAGTACGTTACACGTTGCAAATGCTCCGGCGACAACGGGGCGTCTGCCAGAAGTATAAATAAGGAAGCCAACAAATCACTGGAATACGCCTCAGGTGTGCGCACTGACCCACGAGTCACTAATAACCCGATGCTACACAGCTGAGGATGTTGATCCCGCAAAAAGGGAGTGCAGGAGAGGGAAAAAAGAAAGAGAGGCAGGTCGTGCCGAGCGGACCTGACAATTCGTGAATATAATAATCAGGAATATTAGTTTCTTTCTGAGGCGGACAGGTGAAAGCAAAAAAAGTTCCAGTGGAGTTAAAAATGGCATTTGTTTGCAGATCATATCCAATAAAGCTCAGAACATTTCAGAATGAATAAGCATAAACTATTTGGATAGGAACCTAAGTGTCAGTGTGTGTATGTATGTGTATCTGTGTGTAAATGGAAAAGCTATGAGTCTTATGGAAGCAAATCATCCTATTTTTGAGCCATATGCCATGTAACTAACCATTAATTGTTTGGTTCCAGGTCTTCTTGGTATGGTGGCTCATGTGATGTACACACAGGTCTTCCAGGTCACCGTCAGCCACGGTCCACCAGACTGGAGGCCTTACAACTGGGACTATGGCTGGTCCTTCTGGTAAGATTGCAGAAATACACAGCCGAACTCAAAGACCATGGTTCTTTAATCACTATCAGATCATATGTGTTATTTAAACCGCTACAAGCATACACCCCTCCACTGGGATCCATGAGATGAGGGATTCCAGCCCTGAACAGTCGGTTGTAGGTCTGCTCTCACCTCTCCCTGGCATCACTGTCTCTAATGAAAATAGCCCAAAGCTCTCATGTTTTGGTAGGATTAGGCTTTGGTGTCCAAAGCCCCACTAGAGGAGTGATTGGACTTGCATAAGGGGATAATATTTCACTCCTTTACAATGTGCATGGTATGCTGAAAATTCATTTTAGAGACTAAACAATTCTAGACCATTCGTGGGCATTAACCGTCCTGTATAAAACAGACATAAGACTTCTTTGTCAGCTCTCACATGTGATCCGTCGTGCCTGAAAGAAGTGGTGGGATTTGTGATCAGCACTAATCTCAGCAAACACTGTGGCAGAATGTTAAGGGGAAAATATGTATTGCATTCCACACAGGAACTCAGCAGAGTTCAACTGAGAGAGCTACATCCTCTGCAACTAAAGGTTTTTCTCTGTTTTATATCAGCATGGCCTGGGCATCCTTTACCTGCTGTATGGGTGCATCGGTCACCACCCTCAATGCCTACACGAAGACTGTCATTGAGTTCAGGCGCAAACGCAAGACTTTTGAGCAAAGCATCCGTGAGGACCATGCGCGGGAGGCTTTCGGATATTTCCGGGAACACTCAGTGCACTCCATCTCCAAATCTGTGGAGGATTACTCCTGCCAGACCCTGCAAAGCAGCAGGCACACCCCCATACCTGCTGACACTATGGATCTGAGTGACATTACAGCATCTTTAGGGGAAGAACAGTGCTGAAATGTAATGAGACACTAGGTGATGATATTTATCTCAGTGTGGCAACTTGATCAATGGAAGTGCTTTTGTCCCTGTACGGTTGATGCTCAGCATGGAAGGAGCGCCTAACAAGATTTCAGGCCACAATATTAATTCATTATAATACATTTTAACACTGCCTTAATTAAACAGATCATGGATATTTTGTACTAGGTTAAAATTGGACAAGGAAACTGCAATAAGTGAGCTTGAACCAATCTGATGAATGACTAACACTGCAGATAGAAAAAATACAATTAGGGTCTCTCAGATGCTAATAGCCTTATTAAATATATTCCAGACAATCAATATATCAATGCAAAGACAGGGTGGCAGTTTAACTGGTCTACATGGACTGTGAAATGAAGCCACAAATACTCCAAATGATGTGCCTACATATATACATTGTAAATAAGCTGTTGGGTTTGAGTGTGAGATATGGTTGTACACAGAATGGTTGTAGAAAATGTTGAATGATTTTTGTCATGGATGCTCATAATCAGTTACTTTTATTGTCTCACAAAGCCCTAGCAAGCATTTCAACACACCAGTGTGAACCAGTGTACCATGACGATTCATACGACCAGTTGTAATGGCATGATTAGAATGATCCACAGTATCACTCACATCCAGTATGTCATTTTCATTTGATGTTACTGCTTTGGTTGGAGGATAATAAATAACTCAGTGCTGTGAAAATATTTTTTTTCAGAATGTTTCAAATGAATGTGATGGATATTAAAGTTACCCTCCACTCAAAAATGCACAATAATGTCTTGTTATTGTGGTGTAATGTCTCCCAAGTGTGGGGCAGGCGGGGTAAGATGACGATCATGTCAACCCCCCACACAGTTAGAGGGTGACTGCGGCCAAGACTCAAGGTTGTAAAAATACCTTATTTACAGGAAATAATTCCTGTAAATTCAGAGATAGCGCAATAAAGGACATTACTGTCTTTGTGCTCTTTGTTATAAAGATGTATGTGCTTATTATTAGGTCTATATCAGTGGAAGTCAGATATTATAGCACTGAACATAGCTTTTCTAATGTTCTTTACATATTAGACTGCATTCATTTTGGAAAGCCCGATACAAAGGTTTGTTAGATATAAATGCAGGTTTGTATCTAGCAGTTGTTAATGACACAAGAGGATTTTGTAACATTGTAACTGGTTTGGAAGCCAGTCATTTCTCAGCCTATTATGAAATGAGTAGGTATAATTGTAATGTTTTTATTACCAACTGTTAATTGAGGGGATATTTACAGTTATCAAAGAACCAGATGACACTGTGATAAACCTAACGGTCAATGCCTGATCTGTGATTATACATAATCCCTACAGAGGGCAGTGTTGTCTTGACAGACTGTTCTCCACACTAGGACGTTTTATTCTATAAGTGGTGGCGACTGTAATTTTTGGCATTTGCCTTGAACATTTGCCACACCATTTCTAACAATATGCAGGTAACATTATTTATTTTTGCCTTTATTTAATTTGTATGTTGTATATATATTTTGCAGAGAACATATACAATATTAACAACTTAGTGTAGTATATATTTTATAGTAATTATTTATAATACAAGGCTTGTTCACTGTAATAGAACCATACTCTTAAAATCTGTAAAAAAAAAAGATATAAGGCATAAAGAGGTGGACCTGTGCTCTCTTGAATGCCTTGATGCAAAACCATTACATAAACCTGATTTCAGTCATCTTAAAAACATTACATTGTTCAGTTCTGTTCCACTCCAAATGGAAACACCACCTCTTCGACCTTTGATCAGTAACCGTCATCAAACTCATTCTGAGCTTGCTGCCGTGCCAACATGGCCTGAATGAGAGCACTGGAGCCTGGAGGAGCTGGGTTTTGTGAGGGAGAAGGGACCCACTGAAACCTGTCCTCCTCCTCTGCAGACTTCTCTCTGACTTGCATCTTGACACTTGACACTGAAGATGACAGGTCACCTGACCTGTCCGTCTGTGAGACGGCACTGAATCTGTTGACAGGGTTCTCAGAAAAGGGTGCTGTACGGATGTATTCAGCTCTCTCTTGACTCTCAGCCCTCTGTCTAGCTTGCATGGCCTGTACGAGGGTACTGGAGGATGATGGGTAATTATCAGGCATCTGGTACAAATGTTCATCCCAGGCTTCAGCTCTTTGACGGGCCAACATAGCCTGCATCAGGGCGCTGGGGGTGGAGATGTCGGCGGGAACAGGCACTCCATCGGCACTCCGTCTTTCATCTTCCTCTTCAAACTGCTGGCGAGCAAGTAAAGCCTGAACCATGGCGTTTGAGTTGGACTGACTGCCCGAGGACTGTTCATCTGAGCACTGCTTGGTGTGCTGAAGGATAAGAGAAAATATTCAGTGTTACTGATAACAAATCTCGGGGTGAACGGCAATTAGTTACCATGAAATAATCTTCACAACAAACCATTTTTTGATCCTTCTCTTTGGATTTTTTATTAGGATCAGAGTTCTGGAGAGTCTGGAGCTTGTCTATCAAGAAAGACTTGTCTTTCCCCACCTGGTGAAGGAAAAACAAAAAGTAAAACTAAAGCAAACAAAATGAAATTAAGCAGATACTACTAAAGAAATGAATTGCAAACATATTGACAGAATGTTTTTCCACCACACTCACATTAACAATCTGTTGTCTCAGTAGAGCAATAAGCGCCTTGCGGCCCTGACTGATTTGCCAGAAGGTGTATGTGATGGCCCTAAGCAGTAAAAACAGGACCAGGCAAAAGCAATGTAGTTATAATATCACAGAAAACCATTTGCATAATAGCACAAAGATATAAAATGTACATACACACATAAGGACACACTGTATGCACACAATGTTCCAGGTTCTATTGGATTGATTTAGTCAAATAAATGTTAATAAAGACATTACACTGTGCCAATGCTTAGCATCACAGAGCTGCTACCATGGCTGAAGACTTCCAATTATACATGTAATTGATGCTCTGCAAATGCAAAAAACATTAAGAGCCGCTGCTGAAGAACATCATTTGATATACAAAGAATACCATAGCTACTAAATGAACTTTGAAGTGAAATTGTTTTAACAACTGCTGTTTCCCAAGTCAATTAGTAAGTTGTCAGAACAAAATGAAGTCTTCATTGTTTACAATTCCCTGACAAATAGCAAACTACATGTGCTGCTAAAAGTCATGTGATGTGATTGGAAGCAGTTAATAAATGAGCATTGTGAGATTGTTTCATCAACATTAAGAGCAGCACAAACAGTCATAAAAGAATAAGCTGGGGGTTTCTTATGTTTGATCTGAAGGCCCAGAATAACTGAAAATGTGATTCCCAGCTGAATTTACTACAGAGTACATGTAGCACACACACACAACATAACATTTGCACTATGCACTTACTGGACGATGAGTGCAATAAGAAAATAAAAGAGTTCACTCTCGATGATGTGTTCGTAGATCCAGATGACCCATTGAGAACCAGGGATCTCATGCAGGTTGTGCATCCAGACTCCAACCACACTGAAGGTACTGTTAAGTCCTCGAAAAGGACCGCACTGCTCTGAGGGAGTCAGTCTACAGAGCAGGGTGGGGTAAACCAAACAAGACTGATGTTTGATTTGACAACAACCATAAAATCACAGACAGAATTTCTTTACTGGATGAAGCATCTAGACTGTGTCAAGGTGTGGGATTGACAAATGATATTATAGTTATACAGGGCTTTCCTACACATTGATGCACACTCAAAGAGCTTAACACTATTCACACACAGTGGTGGAAAGTAACTAAGTACATTTACTCAAGTACTGTGCAATTATCTGTACTTTACTTGAGTATTTTCATTTTGTGCCACCTGACATTTCAGAGGCAAATATGTACTTTTTCCTCCACGACACTTATTTTATGATTTTAATTACTAGTTACCTTTCAGAGCCAAATTATTATAAAAAATTACAGTGTATTCCAAAGACTTTATAGATTTCTGTTGGAAAATTCACAAGATGCCCAACAGTAATTCAAATTCTAAGAATATAAGCTAGTTAAAACTACCTCCCCCTTTACAGCCACAACATTTAATGTAATGAGCACAATAGTGCATCAGTAATTATAAACACATCATATGATATACATTAATGCTAAATGTACCATTCTGCATAATTTTAGTATGTCTTGATGCTAAACCTTTGTCCTTTTACTTAAGTAAGATTTTGAATACATGACTTTTAATTGTAACAGAGTATTTTTACACTGTTGTATTACTACCTTTACTTTAGCAAGGGATCACAGTACTTCTTCCATCACCGTTCACACACACAAATGCTCACACATTCAGACACCAGTGACATAACCAGGAGCTACTATGGATTCAAGAAGACGTCAACATGTGGAGTGGACAAGCCAGGAATTAAACCGACAACCCTATGGCTAGGGAATGTCCCACTCTACCTCCTTAGCCACAACCGCCCAAGATTGTTGAGGTTTTGTTCAGAAACTGATGAACTGATTTCTTTAGCTTCCAAGCTGTTAATGTTCCATAAAAAGGTTTTATAGTAGTTAAAACAGATCACATCCTCATACCTCCAGGAAACATATGCAACCATGGACAGGGCTCCCACGAAGAAAGGGAAGAAGAGGACAGCAATGAAGATGGTTTGCATCTGAGCCGCCCTGCCTATTCGCCTTGGAGGCTGGCAGTTGTGGGTCAGGCTGACCTGGGAAGGTAAAAACACACATGAACAAACATATATGCACACACCATTTTCAAACATTCATCTTGCAGTTTACTCAACACTATTAAAGTTTACAACCCCACAAGCTTATTTCAGCCTAGACTTCATTTCTTCAAAGCTTTTGAACAACATTGATTCAGGTCATTCAGCATGTTCGTAAAGCAGTCAGCAACACTAGATCTGTTGTTTCAAATTATCAGCAGATCATTTCTCTGGGATTTCAGTGTCTTCTACATCTTCTACATATTCTACTTTTTTCTTTTGGCTTTGCAAACTCCACACAGAAAGGCACCTGTCGGCCAGGGCTCAAACCTCAAACCTTCTTGCTGTGAGGCAACATTGCGAACCACTGCACATCATGCCACCCTCAGTGTAATGTAATTATTTTACTTTAATTAATTATTTACCCAGGTGCTCAAATAGAGTAACATGAGCCTTAAGGCAAAATATAGAGCTGCTTAGTAATTGATGAAATTGTTCTTGTCGGTCACGGTGCGTCATCACGGGAGTTCAGCTTACAAAGCTACCAAAACTTGTGAATGTGCATTTACCTTCTTTAGATAAAACAAGATAAAAAATTTCAGAATCTGGATGGCAGGTAGCAGAGGAGAGAAGTAGATTCCAATCCTATGGAGAGAAAATACAGGATAACAACAACTTTATATAGGAAATGGTTACTTTGATCAGGAGATAAAATACGAGGCTTTGTTTTACTAGACAATGAGTCAGATTATTTATTAGCAAATATTAAAGCTACGCCACCTAATTGTCTTTCACTAGATCTGATAGGTCTGGAGAAACTCAAAACAAACTGACATTATAGGCAGCTCCTAAGCACTCTTTGCCTCTCCCATCACATCTTGTTTCCCAGTGACAATGTAAACTATGAATGCCTGGTTGAAGAACTGCAGTCAGAAGCTGTAAGCTGACTAACAAGTAAATTTTGCTATCCAGTAGAACACTCTGGTTAGTAGTAATGTGACACAAAGCACTAGACAAAGCCCAAATTAGTCCTACATTTTCAGTCCTTTCCTATTTTCACTTGATTTATCAGACGATGGGTAAAATCTTAGTTTAATGCATCTTTAAATGTGTTGTTCTTACCAAGCTAGAGTTTGTGCATAGATGAGCTCGAGGACATTTCTGGCTACATCAAACTCTGGAATCCCAACATGTGGTAGTAATCTGGTCCCAATCAGACTATGATAGAGAAATGATGAATATTATTTATATCTGTTGTTAACATTCCCCATTTCTGTAATTGTTAATACTAAAAATGAACTGAATTTGTGTAACTTACTTGCTGAGAAATTCTCCAAAGAAGGATCCCAGCATCAGAAAAAGGAAGTCAACAATGACCAGACGGTACAAAGCTTGTCCTACCATGGACTCCCAACACTGTGGAGAACACATTAGATGGGTGAGTGAAGGTTTCTATTTTGAAAAATTATATTGGTGAGTTAAAAAAACACAATGAAATATTATTTAATGTCAGACATACCGTAAACCTGTAAGCCACCACATTCATCCAGTAATAACACAGAACACCTAGAATGAACAATTTGAGGAAGATATTTCTGAGGAAACAGAAAAAAAAGATTTCAAGCATTATTGGAGGGGTTAAATGAACTGTTCTGGGAAATATAGTTATTGGTTTTCTTGCTGAGGAAGGGATGAGAATCTCAACACCATTCTCATGTCCCTACACTAAATATGAAGCTATTAGCCAACAGTTGGTTAGATGGTTTGGTTAGTATAAGGTTAGCTAGCATAAAGGCTGATAACTGGGGGAAACAGCAAGCATGGCTCTCTTAAGGAAGCAAATTCCACCTACTATACTAATCTCACTCATTAATTTGTTATATCTTGTTTGTTTAATATCTACTTTCTTACTTTCTTTATTAGGATCCCCATTAGCACCGCCATTGGCTAACGGGGTCCCTCACACATGCAATCTAATCACACAAAAAATATATCAGTTCATACAGAAGACAACTAATCAAATAAAAAAATATTTTAAAAGGGGGGAAAAGAAGGTGTCCCAGTAGTCTAATGTTAAGACACATAGCACATACCCGCAAACATGCACGAGCTGGGGAACCCCTACTGCCTGCCATTCCTCTCTTCATGTTTCTTGTCTATCTCTACACTAAAGTACAGGCAAAATGCCAAAAAAAAGTTGAAGTACTCAGAGGTCTGTCTTGGGACGTCTGAAGTAAAGGGGTACAAAATATAATGAGAATAAGCCACAGTCTGCCACAGCTATACTAAGAGTAGTTTGGGTATCTACTCATGCATGTTGCTTCTTTGTGCTGTTACATAATTGTTGCTTTAATTGACACTTAGTTTTATCTAATTTGCATTTTAGTGTTTTATCTGCCTGTGTGCATTGTGTTAAGCACTTTGAATTGCCTTTGTGTATGAAAATGTGCCTTGAACAGACAAATCCAAGATTTTCCCATTCAACTCTCAGCAAGAAAGCAAATAAGCTTATTTCCTAAAAGTCTGTTAAGTCAAATAACATATTCTTCAATCCTATGTCCTTAAATTTATGTCCTGTATCTTCATTTCTTGATAAAAACTAGATATGCTATCTGACCTGACAACCAGAGCATATATCTGTCTTCGCTGGCTGGAGTAGTGCTCAAACTTGTTGAAGAGGGAGTAGAAGAGCGGGACAACCAGATTCATCAAAGACACCACAAATGGAACCAGAAGAGTCTGTGCCTCCTGAAGCAGAGTCCAGTTGGCAGCATCTGTTGCCTGCTATAAAGATCACAGAAGGAGGTCAGATCAAGATAGTGCTCAGTGACAAACATCATGTGCAGTGAAATTAATCAAACCCTGGTGTGCTGCTAAATTACTTGACACATTACTATCAGTAAGTTTTAAGCTTACAATGCATGCTGATTATAGACAGCTAATAGCTATGCCATACAGCATTATCATATGCAGTATTTTAACACACGCATACAAAGAGATCAAGGGATACAAAATCAGTCATTACCTCACAGTAACTTAGTAGGAAAACGGTATAAAAATTTGTTAACTCTAATAACTAAAAAAAAAGCATGACAAAATGGCTAGGGATTGTATGTTCTATTCTCTGCAGTCTACTGTATATCCAACAAAAACAATTATCCCTGTGTAACCAAATGCCTAATTATTCAGTCTTCACTTGTTTACAGTACCTCCTGTTCATATTGGCAGAGGTAATAGATGCTTGCTCCACAGCCAACAGCCAAGCTGGTGGAGAGCAGCCAGGAACCCAGATAAACCCCAAATTGCTTCAGTTTTTCAGAGAGGGTTAGCAGCTCCCTCTGGGCCTGTTCTGATAGAGACTCCTGGAGACATGGCAAGAGCACAAAAACGGTGATAAAAATTAATGAGACACGTGATGTGTCTGCAAAAAGGAATTGTTTGAAATGCACGCCTGAACTTTCTCTCAAAGCATATTGTGAGGAAATAATTTGTAGCTATGCATTTTATGGTGTATGTGAAATTATCATGTAATAAAGATCCACTGCTTCCTTCTTGACTTGCTGTATTATTTGACAACAATAGGTCTGAAACACAGCAATGGTCACCTTCAGTTGGACACGGAGGTTGTTCTTGCGCTGTCTCACTGCTCTCTCATTGGTTATACTGAAATCCCAGCTGCACAGAAGCTGCCATGCTTTGTCTGAAGCAGGGTTTACTAGCACAAAGTTTTTCATAAATGATCTCGCCATGCTACATGAGGTTAGACACAGATTGGGAAAATGGGCAACGTCCATATTAAAACTACTTTAAACCAAGAATAAAAGTGCTGAAAATTCAGGCTTCAGAAGTTATAGGAGGACTGGACTGACCTGAAGATGAGTGCAATTCCACACAGAACCATGTAAATTGCAATGGTAAAGAAATAGGCCAACTGCATGTCATACTTCGCCAAGCCCACAAAGGTTTCATTGCTGTACCCACCATAATACATGACAGTATAGCTGATGTAACCCTGCAGAAACCAAAACACATTTATAATGCAGTGGAAAATATAATTACACCTACATTAACTTGATTCATTGGCCACTTATTGGCCACAACGTAGCAAGTTGCAGCACAGCATTTACATACTGTATCACCTTATAAGGTTGCTGGCTAACATCTAGGCAAACAGGTGCACATCCAGCAGACTGGGAGTAACATTAACAATCACTTAGAGCAGTAGTTTGGCCCCCTGACAAATACTACAAATCTAATATTCACTCTCCTTTTAGCTTTGGTTCTCGAGGAACTCCTGAGAGAAATATTTGGCTCTTCAGCTACTAAATGCTCCACTGTGTTCATGAGCCAGTTGTTAACTTTATTTGCCATTTGGTGCTGAATAGGTAGTAAACAGAGAGCTTATCAGAGCTGCTGTTTCTGGAAAAGATGATAATGTGAGCTCTGGGAGTGAATCAAAACAGTGGACTTGTGGAGCGTGAAACTAAAACAACAAGATACTAAAACTGAGAGGAAGTGCAAATTCTGGTGAAAATTCTTTGTGAGTTCATCGTTACAAACTCTTTTTAAACTATACACAGTTACTTTATCCATTATTAATATAAAAAGAGCAGCTTTAAATCACACACAAAAAAATGAATGATAACCTGGATGGTTTTAAAGGTAAAGATATTTTGTGTGATATGAGCCTCCACTTACAGCTCCAGTCAGTATCTCCAGCCCTCTGAAGCTCACATTTGGAGGTATGTTGGGTGAAGGGTCATAAACAAGCAGTGGGATAGTGATAAATCCAAAGTTAACCAGGAAGGAGAAAATGTTAAACATAAGCAGCCACTTGAGGAACACAAAATAGGAGAGGACGCTGGTGCCAAACTTTCCGCTTATCTCCTTCATGATGCCATGCCACAGTTCCAGGGTCTGTCTGGCTGATCTTATACTGTAACCACACCTGCGGAAACACTGAGAGAGCAGCTTTTGACATGTATTACTCACAAACAGAGGTTATGAATCAGTTGGCTGAAATCAAAATGAGTTCAGCTAACTTAGGGTGTTACAGGATATTGTTTTGTTACAGGATATTGTTTTGTGATTAATGAAACACTCACCAGTGTCACATTCTCAAAGTAATCTGCAAAACATGTGCAATTGTGAGATTGCTTGGAGGTCTTGAATGCCAGTACTTGGCTCCTGCGAAGGCAATTTAGAGAATAAATTGGTATGAGAATGACATTACCTCTTTATAGTCTACAATATCCTGATGATAAGAAGATCTGCCACAGTGCTGCAGTCTGCACAGGAACCTTTGGACTTTTATTTTGTTGCGTAATGTAACTTGAAACAACAGAGGAGTGTGTTTATATGCGTGTCCTCCAGTGATCCACTGCAACACCACTAACCCACATTCTAAATATCACTTTGCATAATGCTTATTTTATGAGACTCAGCGGGGTGCCTGGAACTGACAAGGAAGCTTGACACTGTTAAATTTTTGTGACTCACAACCAACCTGATATGTTTTTTCTCTTCAAAGCACATTGGAAGCTCCCGAATGGTCCGGATTCGATCTCGTCGGGACAGAGTGACAAGTTCCTTGATCAGGTCCTGTTCCTCTGTCACGCACAAGAAGACAAGACAAGCTCTAGCTGTTATACAGTATTTACATGATTCACAAGCAACAGTTACCAGAAAGCTGATAATGTGTCACACTTTTCATTTCCCCTATTCATAGGACTAATCGGACACCCATCACAGATTCTTACCCTTCTCCATTTCGTTCCTGACAGCATCCTCTATGAACGCTGGATCGGTGTTAGGAAACATGTTCATCCTGTTCATTGTGATCCCTGTCAGTCTCATTGTCATGTTACCTGGATGAACACACACAGACAGAAGAACGTGTTTTGCTGCTTTGCTTATGAGCCTGATATTTAAAGGTAAACCCATGGAGCAGATGAGAAACACGAGCAGGTAGACAGGCACCAAGGGTGGCATTTTAATCATAACACCCATAGCTGCTCAATCTTTTAAACATTAACTCCCAGTTAGTGCTTGATAGAAATACAGTGATCAGTTGGGGAGAGTAACCAAATTAACTCAAGTGTCGTCACTCGAGTAGTTCCATGTTAAGTTACTTTACTCCTGCTCCACTAGGGGAAATATACTACTCTGTAGTTACACTGCAGAGTCTTCTTTTTAAAAATGCTCCAAAACGCATTAGGTCTGTAATATTATTTAGCTACTTGGCTGCATATAGAGCAGTTACAAGTAGCCCCACTGTTACCACCTGCAACATGCTTACATATTAATGTATCAATAACTCTAATCGAACAATAAATATTGTTCTGAAATGTTGCCTTTTCTGCTCAATTTGTACTTTTAGTACTTTACATTTCTTTTAATACTAGTACTTTTGTACTTTTACTTTTCAGTGTATGATTTTTACTTGCAACAAGGTTTTTCAACACTTTGGCATTACTATGTTTACTTCTTCTTTTGATATTTTTGTATTTTATATTACTCTTCTCTTTATATTTTTGCACATACTTTGAGATGTGTATTACAGTTCTTCTGGAACAATATATGAATATCTGAAACTAATTACATTGCAGTCCATCCAATACTTCATGTAAGATTTAAATGAAAACCACAAATAGAAAAAAGAAGAGAATTTAATTATTAGGACTCATTCTGATGGGATCGTGAATATCTCTTCCAAATTCTATAACTTTAAAACAATGTAAATGAAATAATAATTTTAAGTCTTAAAATATGGTCACAAATTACCCGAGCATTTATGTACTTCCACTTAGTTTTCCTTTTTACAAATGCATGTATACCACCTCTAGATTATCTCCTTCAGATTAAGAGCCCATTTTCCCATCAGTGCCTTTCATTTTCTTTGCCAACTTCTTGTCTTCTTCCTTTATGCTGTGCAGCTTAATAATTAACCAGTTGGATTTTGCTCAGCTGATATTCAAGGTTGACAAGTCAACATGAAGTCACTTTTATTTTCATTTATTGTCATGCAATGCATTTTACAACTTTGTGTGTGCTTAGCAATGACAGCTATGTGAAAACTTACAGCAACTTTATCAAAGTTGACTGTCAATAGAAACTAGAACCAATGGAGGAGATCAGTTTAGGTTAAGATGAATTTAACTGTTACCTGACACTGAAGAAGGACGACGAACAGACGGTGATTGATCACACTGAGGGTTGATTTGGGAAGTGCTGTGAGCTAAGGTGGGGAGAGGACAGAATAGAAGTATCAACAGAAGTGTCACATAGCAACAACAAAACTGCTGGGCAACCTGACTAACAAATACTCAGCAACCACTAATGTTGATTTTACATTTTTCACTTTTGTAATACAATAAAGAAAAATGTATAAAACTGTTCCACATTCCAGGTTCTTCCACTCACTGAGTTCATGCTGCCATGAAGGACTCCCAGGATTTGAGATGACACCCATGGGGATACTATCTCTCCTCCTCCAGCTCTCTTCCTGCCAGCCCCCCAAGGCTACTCTCCCTGCATCAGCACTGCTGGGCTGACACACAGGTGAGTGGTGTGTGTCTGCACCGTCAAAACGCCAGGCTGGGTCCTCCCTGGTGTAGGGATTAATGTGCTGGTTTTTACTGGAGGACCTAGAGGCCACATGAAAGAAATACCATGTTAAAGTGAAAGTTAAAGTGCTTACCAATCAGACCATACAGTTTGTGTTTAAGATACCTAAAAAGAACAAGTTACAAATTCAAGAAAAGAACTGGAATTTCAAGTTTTAAATACAGTGTGATCAAACAAGCACAATAGATATGACCACAGTGGATATAATGTTTTTCACCTGTGGGTAATTGTAAGGATAATATATCCTACAGGGAAATGTAGGATCATGTTTCAGAGGCTAATGAACTCATGCGTTTCTCTCTTACATTTACTATAATGCTATTAGAAACTTTCAGTCTTTAGACCTTTCTTACCCAGAAGATGAAAGTACAGCAAGCCAGGATAAATATCACATCCACAGAGCTCTACACACAGTTCTTTGAGGACATCCTGTTTATTCTTTCACAGTACAGTATACTGTATATCATCTGATTACAAGTACCAAAAACACACAGCACTCGCTCAAATCACATTGTTATTATGCTATTGCAAACCTTCTATCAATTTCCAGAGTCTCGCTGTCATGGTAGGCAGGGTTGAAAAATCCATCGTTGCTGTAACTTGTCATGAGATCCTTCAAATTGATCCTTTTGCCTTCGTACCTCTTCAAAATGTTGATGTCTATAATTTTCAGCTCCAGTAATACACTGTATTAAACTTGCTCTATTGAGTAAAGAAAAACAGAGATGACTAGAACAATGTGTCTTATGATATCATCAGAAAACTAACAGTATTTGCTTTCATTACATATTGCCTATAAGCTTCAGTTACCAGCAAAGTCAACTTTAATATAACTTCAACAAGTAGCACTGCAGATTAGGGCTATGTGGCTTTCTGTATTCAGAGTGATGGCTAAATTGCCAGAGGAAAGCCTGAGTAATTCAATCTCTTGGTCCCATCCTCCTCTGTTCATAACTAATTCATATGATAGGTTTGGTTTCTACCACAGTGGTAACATAACTCTATGGTTGCTAGACAGAGCCACTAAAGGTTAACAGGATATGAAAATCTGAATAAAACATTATAGGAAACTACAGTCTGGCAAATCAGTAATGGAAGTTAGAGTGAAAAACCTCATGAAGTAGGACTACATGTGTATGAGAGGTAATAGATGAAAAATCCTGTTACACTATATAACATTCTGCTCTATTAACAAACGATTAATTACCTGGTAATTGTGTCGTAATGGTGAGAAAGTTAGTAGGTCCTGAATGTATTGCTGAAAAGTTGAAGAGCAGTGACTGAGGAGTAGCCTGTGACCCAGCCTCGCTCAGATAAAACTAAGTACAATCTGGCTACCAGGAAGTACATGTTAAACCCATAAAGGTAAAAGTACACTGCATCTGAACAGGCAAGTCCCAAGTGGACATTAAAACACTAATGATACCAGAATAACGACACTATTTAGTATGAAGAAAATACAAATACAGTATCATTTACATCCAAATATATTATGAACCAAGTTTGGTAAAGACTGGATGAAATATGTAGAGTAGATGAAAAATGCATTTAATAAAACATAAAATTAACATATGTCAAAAAATAACCATGAGCAGCCAGAGGACTGCAAGGCCAACATGATATAACATGAATGAATAAATAAATAAACAATTGCATTAAATGGTCACAGTGCCAGAGTGTGGCCTATATCAGTCACTTTCTCTTCACCCAGAGAATCGATAGCAGAAATACTTTTTCTTCTTCTGCGTCATAGTTAAGATGTTAATGAAAGCTTAAAGGGGTTTTTTTTTTTTTTTTTTGCTCTGTTTAAGGAGAAATACTAGATTTGTAATAACAAAAGTAGGCAGGAATCAAAAAGAAGAGACTGGGGGAAAATCATAAGACAAATGTTAGTTATATACAAAATGCAGTGTTGTGATGGAGTCACAATAATAATCAGCAGAGGGCATTGTAAAATCCATTCAAGGATAAGGCTGGTCATTTACTATTTTCATCTTGTTGTTGTTTTCCACAAATTCCATATAGAGACTAAAAATAACTACATTTTGTGTTTACACAATAGCTTCTCGCTTTGTTATCAGAATCAGCTTTATCGGAAGATGATTATCAATAGATCATCAATAGCTTCTTGCTTTGTTATGTGAAATTAAATAATGAATTTGCGACCCACCAACAGTTAAGAAGTCCTTTACAAGAATGATCTTAAACAAATGAGCAACGAATTAGTAAATTCCCTTGACCAAGATTCAAGACAGTACAGCTATGCAATCATTAATTTTACACACTCTATAGCTAATAGCCTAGAATACGAGTTAAATGATGTTTACCCATTATTTGGCCCCAAACAGGGGGGTGTCAGGCCATGCCGTCATAAATCTTCAGAGCCCCACAATAAGCAACACCATTTTCCAGACCTAACCTCCCCTTAATTAACAGAGCATCCCTGAACCTTTTCCTTACCCAAGCAAAGAGTAGATATGTGGCTTGACACAGCATCAGCGTTGTATTTGCTCAGGTTAAGTGACTGACCCAACTGGCTTGGAGTGGCAGTCACCTTAGAGAGCTGGGTCCACTCAGTTGAATGCATTATTGCTCCTTATCATAATATCTTTATTTTACTTTTCAAATTTCTTCTCTGTTTTGTTTTTTTTAAGCTTTTGCATAGGATTTTTTTTTTTTTACTTGTCACAAGTAGTTATAGTACACAACCTGTAAAAACAGTTGTAGTCTGTAATGCCTTGTGTGGTCCCTTGACTGAGCTTTCTAAAGTCTGGTAAATAACCCTATTGACGTTATCTCAGAGTGAGACCAGAGTTTTTAATGCAAACCCTGTGTTAGAAACTGGGATGTGTAGTTTGAAGGACTACGCTGTAAGGTGCATTATGACAAATGTGACAGATCCAGTGTTTTCTGGACATAAGGAAGCTTTCTTGTTCTCAGCTGGACTACTGTTGACCGTTCCTTTTATTTTAAACATTTATTTTCTAACTTTGTGAATGTTTTAATTTCCTACAAGGTGCTACGTTTTCTTTTGTTAAACTAATCTATAAATTAGTGACTAAAAGAAAAGTATGACATTTTTAAAAAAGCAATAATATAAGATGAAAATAGTACAGAAAGCAATGAAACAGGGTGACAATGAATTAGAAAGAGTGCAGATCTGCTCTGGGAGCTGCAGCCACATCCAGGAAGTGCTCTGTCTGGGAAACGCTTTCTTCCCCGACCTGGAGAGTCAACTCCCAGTTGGCGAAGTCTTCTAGGTTAATTGTTAACCACACTTTTATCTTTTAAATAGCAACAATAACTTTCAAAAACGGGAGCGATGGAAGTCGACTCAGGTAAATCTGTACTTAGCACGATCGGTCTTAGCTGTCCTTACTAATAAGTGAATTAAAACAGAAGTATGTTACTTCAGCATTAGCTTACCGGGCTAGTAATGCTAGCCTCGAACTTAGATCGAATACCCGCTGACAACAGGGAAAAAACTGTCCTGTCTGTTAATGATTTGATAAAGGTTCTTGGGAAGGGCACGGGTAACAGAGTTTATGGAGTTCTGTTTTGTTTGGCTTGGCTCTGTTTGAGTCTCTTTACGGAATAGAAACTACTTGTCTGCTTCTTGTCTGTCTGGTGCTGACAAACATGTTCTCACATTAGAAAATTGCTATGAACAACGCCCCGTGTTGCTGTGTGTTATAACTTTTACTGTTCAGCTCATGAGCTGCGTGTAATTATGGACCCACTGACGTTGTAAACATTGTGCCATTTCTTCTTCTTCCTACAATAATTGGAATACACAGTGATATGATTCCCTGTCATCCATTTCACTTTTAAGGCCCACTCCAGATATTAACACATGGATAAAATCTCTAATTTTCAGAAAATCCCTTACATACTGTATGTTAGCATTCATGGTTGTGTATACTGGGACAGTATTTGTAACAGGCAAAGATTTAAAAAATGATAATTTGAAGGCATGGGCTACCAGTTCATATTTATAAAGGATGGGGAACCATTTTAAAACATGAATTATGAAGATGCACATCTGCATCAGGACTATAATGACTAGGTCTGAAACCGCAAATCACTGCTAATTTGAAATGCCCACAGATTTATTTAGTATTTTTGTGGTTTCCTCTTGTCATGTTCAGTTCTCTGTCAAGGAACAGTGTCAACATCTGTCGCTGCTCTGAATCATTTATTGAGTCCAGTGGTGAAAGGTTATTACACCTGACTCTCAGTCTTAACTGTAACCTAACAGTAAATGGTACCCATGAGTACTGCATTATTAGAAATATCATTCACTGTGTAAGATCTAATCATATTCATCTCTACTTTCAAGTGTTCTACACTGATTGTAGTGGAAAAGTCACCAGTAATCCACTGCTGGACCAGCTCCCGAGCTACCAGTCCCTGCTGTACCGCAGGAAGTCGTCGGCTGCTGGCACCAAACGAAGAAATAGCTCTAGAATGCGTCTTGGCTCCTCTGGCAGTGGGAAATGGGCCTCGAGTACCATCAGCAGACAGGAGGAGAAGATGGCGCAGAGACCCATCAGGGAACTAGCCAAGACCATGGCTGAGAAACGCAGAGACAAGTAGGAAAAAACACGATTATTTTTACATCCTTGCCGCCTTCAGATTTGTTTTACAGTGTTATTTTTCTCATTTCAAAATGTACATTATATAGTACGCTAAGTTCTCAACAAGCACTGTCTTTCACTGTGTAACCTCTTAGAACACAGCGCCTGGAGGAAGCTTGTGACCTCAGCAGCTGGAGACAGTGGAGGCAAAGCACTCACATGTATCTGAGGAAGCTGAAGGTGGAATCCCAAGAATTGCTGCTCTCACTACAGCTCTGGAGGGGAGACATCCACCTGATAGAGGGTGAGTGATGAGTAATGAGATGATCTGATTCACAAAACTGTATCTCTAGCCTCAGAGATATTGATTTCTATCTGAGGTGGTTGAAATTATCAACTGTATTTTTGCTTTGTGTTTCCAGAGTTAAGTTCTCTCTTTTGTCTCACTCTGATTTAAAAGGGATGTTCGGTACAGGGATCCTGTCTTACTTCTTCTTCCTGCGTTTCCTGGTTATGCTCAACCTGATCATCTTTCTGCTCATGTTCGGCTTCGTCATGCTGCCCATCATCATTGTCCCCTATGTTTCAGGGAATACCACCTACAACCTGAATAATGGTTGGTGAAAGCCTATAATGCAGAGCCTAAACTAAGCATAAAATGGTCTTATGCTTAATTTTGCCATGGTTTTTCCTACAGGCAGTCCGTGCAGCGTGTATCCAAGCAGTGCTCGCAGGGGTCTCGTCATCTTTCATGAATACATTACAGATCTGCTGTCTGGGGGAGTAAGTTCTCGCATGTTACATTTAATATTCTCTGGAAGAAAAAAGTGTACCTATGGTTTCTTCACTCATTCTTTGTGCTTTATCTGTAGGGCTTTCTTGAACAGACCTATCTTTTCTATGGGTACTACAAGGTGGACAAAATCCAGTTTGCACACATCACTTACAATTTGCCACTGGCGTACCTGTTGACCACTCTAGCGTACTTGTTACTGAGTCTCATCTGGATTGTTAAAAGGTACGGAAAAAGCAAAATAACGACAAATGAACATCATTTGAACGATCTGTCTGTGGAAATGTTTGTCTTCTTCAAGGTCTGCCACAGGATTCAAGCGTAACCTGGTTCAGGATGAGGATCGATTTCAGAGCTTTTGCAACAAGATTTTTGCTGGCTGGGATTTCTGCATCACCAATGAGAACGCTGCTAGGCTGAAGAGAAACAGTCTGCTCTATGAGCTCAGGGTTAGTTGATCATTATACCAGAGTTTGCCAGGACCCAGAAGATAAGATAGGGCAACAGTGGCCGTTTTTATATGTTGAGAGAAGTTTGGTTTTCATCTGGTTAGTAAACCTGTTTATTGTTGGATAGTGTAACCTCTGACTACGTGAAGTGGCTGTATCTTAGTGGTGTTACCATAAAATGCACAGTGTAGACAATAGCTACGTTTCTTAGTATAATCTACATATTGGATCTTACCCAGCCAATAAGTCATATAGACTTATTCTTTGTTCAGAAATCAGTTACGATACAATATACCTGTATGTTATTGTCCCTGTAGGGGAATGTTTCTTGACTTGTATTCTATAAGGTGTACAGACAGTCTCATTAAATGTTAACCTGCCTCCTTTTTAAACTGTTTATTTTTTCATCCTTAGACGGATTTGGAAGAAGAGAGGATCAAACAGAAAATAGCAGATCGCACCCGCAAAGAGAGGTGTCGGATTTACCTCATCCGTCTCATCCTCAATCTTTTTGTTGTTGGTGTATTGGCTGGTTGCTTCTACAGCATTTATAAAGCCACTATCTTCTCCCAGGACGCACAGATGAATAATGTAAAGGTAATGAAATGTTTCTTAAGTTTTTTTCTGTTGCAAGAATGACATTTTTCTTTCATTTCTTTATTTTATTATTTTTCTCACCGAGTACTGTAACTGCTTGTCTGCTCTAGAGACCCAAGCCAACCTGTCAGGGTTTTATCTTTTTTTGGTTTTCTGTTTTCTTCTAGTTCTGTAAAGCACCTCATAGACATAACTTTTTAGTATCGTGTTTCTGTTCTGGGGAAAACGTTTATCAGATTTAGAAGTTTTACTCAGACACCACCAGCAGGCATGAAAGGAAATGCCCTCAATATTCCTTTGGCTGTTTGGCAGGAAAATTTCGTTTTGGATCTCATCATCGAGTATTTGCCCTCAATTGTTATCACCTTGGCCAACTTCATCACTCCGCTCCTCTTCTCCATTATCATCAATTATGAGGACTACTCTCCTGCCTTTGAGATCCGCTTCACTCTCATGAGGTACGATGGATCTCATTTATTGACCCCTTGCTCATCCTTTCCATTGATGGTGATTTTATAAATGAAAAGTGAACCGCATTAGGAGATGAAACACTGGGAGAGAAATAGTGCATTTGCAACACAGGCTTATGATTAGAAACAGAATGCTACTGAGGCCAGATGGCTCAGCTGCTTCCTTTTCCCTTTCTCTCCTCACAGGTGTGTCTTCATGCGGTTGACCAGTATTGTGATTTTACTCTTCTCTCTCTGGTCTCAAATCACTAAATGTGAAGTGGATCCCTGCGTCTGTGGCTATAACCATTTGCTTTACTCTGTAAGTCTTTTTTTATTTTTTTTTATTTTATTTCAATTCAGTATACAATGATTTCCTGTGCAGGTGCCAGCACCAAACCTACTTTTATGTTAATCATTTATACTGTACCTCTTTTGATTTATATTTGAGTGTAACTACATTAGCACTGTAATATGCCCATTTTTTTGATCATGATAAAAATACTTTAGTTTTAAGTGAGCACTGCATTTATTCCGTTCTTCATCACTCAGGTTTTCATATTCATATTGTGTTTGTTGATATGTGACTGTGGTGAAGATCAGATCACATTTCATGACCAATTTGTGCAGAAAACCAAGAAATTAGAAGCAGTGCCATTTGTCACTGTCTAGGATAAAATCTGTTCTTACAGGGTTACACATGGTAAAACTGATTGTGGCATGAGTCAGAAATAACTTTTCTCAGTTAAGTAACATCCACTGTTGTTGTGATATCTTATGAGTATGTATGTTTCTTGTGCCTTTTTCCACCCCTGGATGCTGTCCAGTGTTGGGAGACTCGCATTGGCCAGGAGATGTACAAACTGACCATATTTGACTCCATCATCATTGCTGCAGTCACCATCTTTGTAGAGTTCCCCCGAAAGTATGTCCAAAAAAAACAAACTTAGCATCTCAATAGAAACTTACAAACCTCTATTAGTCTAGTATTGCACACATTTGTTGACACATAAGTAGTTTTTCAGCCTTGTAATGTCATGATATTCCACTGTGTAATCTGGGTAAATTCTTCTGCCTTTCTTCTTGTAATAGTTCTAATTTGAAGTCTTTCTCATTACTTATTTTTAGTCATGTCTAATGATGCCCTTCCATTGTCCTGTCCTACTCAGGCTGTTAGTGAAATACTGTGAATGTGGCCTGACAAAGTGGTGGGGCCAGCAAGAGTTTGCAATTCCTCAGAACGTGTTGGAGATCGTCTATGGTCAGACCATCTGCTGGATCGGCACGTTCTACTGCCCATTGCTGCCCGCCATCTGCACCATCAAATACTTCGTTATCTTCTACATCAAAAAGGTGAGTTTGCCTTTCATAGTAGGGCTTCTGACACTGGCGATTTAAATGTTTTCTTAGCCATCACTCCCCTTTGTCAGGTATCATTAATCAACAACTGCCGACCAGCCACACGTCCATTCCGAGCGTCCAGCTCCAACTTCTTCTTCCTCGGCGTGCTGCTAATCGGCCTGGCTCTAGCCTGTCTGCCTGTCGCGGTTAGTGTAGCACAGTGAGTAATGACCATATTATGTTTGAACTTCAGTCTCACAACTAATATCATGTCTGCTTCTCTGCAGCTTTAATAGAGAGGAGGTTTTGACATGGTTATTAGAACATTTGTATGATGAATTTTGTTTTGATAAGTAAGAAACAGGCATTATTGTTACTTCTTACATGTTCCCCCAGTATGTAAACACATTGACCCTCCACTTTTGCACAGAATGAACTCTTCCCAGGCTTGTGGACCATTTGTTAATTACACCAAGTCCTGGGAAGTGCTGCCAACTACGGTATCCCAGCTACCCAGTGGAGTCCAGACCCTCCTCATCGCCCTCTCCTCAGAGGCCTTTGCTGTTTCCTTCTTTGTTTTTACATGGTATGTGTTTCAGGCAGATTTTTAGCTTCTAAAAACTGCTTGTTTATTTTTTTTCTCTCTGTCTGTCTGTATTTCTAAACAGTATTTCCATTTCCTCTGTAGTTTGGCCATGTTTTATGTGATTGCATTAGCTGGAGCTCACAAGAAAGTTATTAACCAACTGAGGGAGCAGCTAGTCATGGTAGGTGTACTGTAGCTTTCATGTTCTTACTAGATTCTGCTTTGGTCAAGTCTTCCTCGATCCTAATTTAAACTTTCATACACACACTACTATTTGTCATGTTGTTTCTCAGGAGGGTCGTGACAAACATTTCCTGATCCAGAAGCTGTGCCAGGCCCAGTCTCTGTCAGCTAACAAATCCTCAGTGTCCAAATCCCACAGCAGCAGAATGAGCCCCAGCTACCACACCAGCTTCTCCAGCAATTTCAATGAAGGGCTGTTCCTGGCACACCCACACCCCAGCTCCTCCACCCATGTGTGAAACTCCTTATTGTGAACACACTACAATATGAGAGCCTCTGTGGACCTGCTGACATTAATGTGTTCATTTGTTGACAAGCTAATTATTATAAAGCTACTACTAGGATGCAATGTTCAAGAATTTTAAAACCAAAACCGTCATTTCTAACAATGTTTTTGTAGTGTTTCTTGGTTATTGTATGTTTTCTATCATTGTTTCCTTCTGAGAAGGATTTGCCTTACTAAAAGCACTGGAGTTTATAAATCTTTCTGAATTTTATGCACTTTAAAAGTATTATCACTAGCATTTCTTACTTTTAAATCTTGTTTACACTACTATGCATTTAGCATGATCATGTGTTTTAAATCTAAACTTTACATCATCTCAATGGTTGCATCACAGTGCAAAGAAATAATACGTTTCACAGTGCTAAACTGTAACCGTGTTTTTCTTACTGTGACTTGGTTTTTGTAAGATAACGTTTGGATGCTGGTACTTTATACTGTTACACCTATTTTGAGCAAATGCTCATTTTTCTATTGGGTGCCTTTTTATAAGACTGTAGTGATTGCCATTAACTTTGAGCCTTATCTTGAAACATAAATGCTGAAATAAGTAAAAACTTGTCGTTTCCTGATTTTTTTTTTTTCTTTTATTATAATTTTTTTAATACCCTCATAAGTGGAATTTTTGTAAAGTAATACAGCCTCCGGCCCTACAGAGGTCGCTGGCGCCCTTTCACTTTGTCCGGTCACTGACAGTAGTTGACACGGAACCGGAGGCAGCGTGCTGTTGCTGTATGAGAGAGTTGACAGTCACCTTAAAATGTTAAGAATTACGATCCGGTCTGACATGGGATCCCTTTGGGTCTTGTTCTGTATCATTTATTCTCAGTTCTTGATCGTGTCCTCTGATGACATTGTGGTAGCATGCGGGGGATTTGTGAAATCAGACGTTGAAATCAATTACTCTTTGATCGAGGTGAGTGCATCGTCCCGGATAGCTAGCGGCTAGCGAACAGCTTGCTGTTTTATTTTTAGCAAGCAGAGGGTTAGGTGGAAACTCTAGATGTGTTTGAATGAAAGGACCACAACAGCGCTCAGTTCTGACCCAAAGTTAGCTTCCTGTTCCTAGCAAACAAAGTAGTTACATTTAATAGGTTATAGTTTGACGTTAATATAGCTGTCTGCTAATTTAGACTTCATGTGCACAGGCACAGTTAACTGTAAATTTGTATGTTAGATGCGATACTATATAGCCGCATTACGCAGGACTCGTCACTCTTAAACCTAAAACCAGTGCTGATATGGAAGATTTAAGAGTTAGCCATCAGTCCTAATCCCTACTCAATCACAGGCTTCTCGGGATTAGCCATTTGGTTAATTGGTGAAATTAACTAAAGACCAGACAGACTGATCTGTTTGTTCAGCACAGTTCATACAAGTTAATTCAATTAAATTTTATTTGTATAGCGCCAAAATATGATCTCTGTTGCTAGTTCCTGTCAGTGCTCTGGCTGCAGCATTTTGGATTAACTGGAGGCTTTTTAGGGAACTAGTGGGACATCCTGAAAGTAAAGAGTTACAGTAGTCCAGCCTGGAAGTAACAAATGCATGGACCAGTTTTTCAGCATCACTTTGAGAGAGGATGCTCCTGATATGATGACTGTACAGGTGAAAGAAGGCAGTTCTAGAAACTTGGTTTATGTGTGATTGAAAGGACATATCATGGTCAAAAATGACTCCAAGGACCCTCACAGCCATACCGGAGGCCAGGGCTATGTCATCTAAAGTAATTATAAGGTTAAACAGCATATTTCTAAGGTTTTCAGGCCCAAGTATAACAACTTCCTTTTTGTCAGAGTTTAGAAGTAAGAAATTACAGGTGGGAGTTTGGATACTGGTCTATAATTAGATAGAACACCTGGGTCAAGAGTAGGCTTTTTGAGTTGAGGTTTAATTACAACAACCTCAAAGGCCTGTGAAACGTAGCCTGTTAGTAGAGAGAAATTAATCAGATCTAATATGGATGTGTTGATTAGGGTTAAAAAGTCTTCGAGCAGCCTGGGGTCTAAGAGACATGATGATGATTTAGATAAAGCAGTTACTGAGGTCAACTTGGAGAGAACTATGGGAGAGAAGCAGTCTAAATATAAATGAAGTCTGACAGATGTTTCTAAAGCTGTTGCACTTGATACATCTGTGAGAGTTGTGGAAAGGATCTGGTTAATAATATGGATGTGTTGATTAGGGTTAAAAAGTCTTCGAGCAGCCTGGGGTCTAAGAGACATGATGATGATTTAGATAAAGCAGTTACTGAGGTCAACTTGGAGAGAACTATGGGAGAGAAGCAGTCTAAATATAAATGAAGTCTGACAGATGTTTCTAAAGCTGTTGCACTTGATACATCTGTGAGAGTTGTGGAAAGGATCTGGTTAATTTTTTTTCTCTAATTGTGATTTTATTTGTAAAGAAGCTCATGAAGTCATTGCTGCTGAGATCTAAGGGGATGTTAAGCTCAACAGCACTGTGGCTCTTTGTCAGCCTGGCTACAGTGCTGAAAAGAAACCTGGGGTTCTTATTTTCTTCTATCAGTGATGAATAAAATGCAGTTCTGGCACTACGAAGGGCTTTTTTAGATGTTATTAAACTATCTTTCTAGGCTGACTTAGTGGAGCGCCATCTCCTTTTCAGTTTTCGTGATGCCTGCTTTAGGGAGAGGAGCTGTGAGCTGTACCACGGGGCCTCCTCTGTTTCTCTGCCTTCTTTTTCAGAGGGGCAACAGTATCAAGTGTATTACGCAGGGAGGCTGCAGTACTATCAACAAGATTATCGACTTGCACATGGCACCAAAGTAAATAATGAGATAATTAAAGATCAAGATCAAAGATTTTTATTGTCAATTCACTGTATGTGCAGGACATACAGAAAATTGAAATACCGTTTCTCTCTCACCTAGTATTGAATGCCATAACATTTAGGAAAATAAAATAAAAGTAGAGCAAAAAAAAGAATAGGAAAACTAAATTAAAGTAATTAGGATTCATTTAGACTGACATTCTTTCTTCTGTAACCAGGTTTCAGTAAGACACAGTAAGTCAGTGTGATGGTCACTTATCAAATCATTCACGAACAGAGATTTGGATGAGAGAGATCTGATATTTATTTAGTCCACATTTGATTGTCCTGTTTTGTTCTATAAGAGGAGTAGTCTTAATTTTAATTAGGTTAATATGAATAACTATTCTTAAGTTGATTTTTGATTTATATAATTTAGGTGGTTGGGATGCAGACACAGTCTATGGGGTAGTGGGAATTTTGGGTGGGTAGCTGCTGCGAAGAGAAAGCAGAGACGTGTGTAAGACTGCAACCCTGCGTCCTTGCCTTAACTCTGAGTTGTAATAATTTAGGTTGTAAACTAAACTTGACCAGATTTCTAGATATGAGAGCCGCACCACCCAAAGTGGGATGTATACCGTCTTTGCTGATCAGGCCAGGTTTTCCCCTAAGTGTTCTCCAATTGTCTATAAAGCCCACGTTGTTTTCTGGGCCCCACACCGGCTGCATGGACCTGGCTAGCTGGGTTGTTTTGCATGGTGCGGAGCCGCGCTTCCAATTCGGGGAGCTTTGCCTCCAGACCTGCGAGCATCTGACGTTTATTACAAATGCCATTATCATTAAAGGAGGCAAAGGAATGAACATGCGACACTCAGAGCAAGAGGAAGAGGGGGAAGCCATTGCTCTCAACTATGCTACTAGCTGACCTAAAGTAGCAAGTTAAATTTGGAAATTAGCAAGAACTTCTGTAACACAGATGCTTAAGTAGTGCAAGCGTAAGTTGTGACTCCAAAAATAGCTGATGTTCAGATAAACCTAGTTTAATATGTAAACTATCTGGTAGCAAACACAACTCGATGCAGACATAGTAAACAAGAAGTGAATACCCTCAGCGCCGGAACAGGAACATGCACAACAGAACCAACCAATTAGCTATTTACCTTACTAATCAAGACTGTACCTGATTATAGAGCATTTAACACCCGAGGTTATGCAATTCTAAGTACTCGTTTCCTCTTTCATATCCAGATTAAACTGTACACCAAACAAGGTTCTTTGAAATATCAAACGGATTGTGCTCCAATCAATGGTTACTTCATGATCCCTCTCTATGACAAGGTACGACAAGCACTAATCAGAGTATTTAGAACTCAGATTTACACTAATGATTCTAATGTAAAAACTTTTTTATTATTACTTTTAATCAGGGAGACTTTGTTTTGAAGATTGAGCCTCCTCTTGGGTGGAGCTTTGGTAAGGCTGTCACATCTGAATCCTCAGTGTTCACAAACTGTTAATTCTGCCAGCTGTTGCCAAGAAAGTACAATATCTCTCTGTAAAATATGCACACTCTAACTTTACATCTTTTGGTCTGTTTTTATTTATTTATGTTTTTAACTGGCATCAGAACCCACCAGTGTTGACCTCCATGTTGATGGAGTGACTGACATCTGTACAAAAGAAGAAGACATCAACTTTGTTTTCACTGGTTTCTCAGTCTCAGGAGCGGTGAGGCTTGTTTAGGATTTTCTCACTAACTTGTTAGAGCCTTTGTTTTACTAATCATAAAAGTTTATTAGAACAAAATGGGGGCTTTCAAAAAGAAGTGCACATGCACAGATACATTTTCGGGTCTTCTGGTTCTTATCTGAGAACCCGAAGATAAGAAAAAAATATTATGATGCAGTTGAAAATCCACTGCTCTCCAAATGTTTGTCTTGGAATTCATATAGGCATGTCACACATGCTTTTTTTGTTTTGTTTTTTAAACAGGAAGTCCCTTTGAGATTACCAACCTTTTTTTACAAGAGAGACCTTAAATAGGTGTTATTTTATTTTATCCCCCTACTGTGACTGTGGATTGTTCAGGTTCTGAGTAAGGGTCATCTCCTGGGTCCAGCAGGAGTTGAAGTCAAACTCAGCAGACCGGGAACAGAGGAGAGACTCCAGAGTGTTGTCACACAGCCTGGAGGAAAGTAAGTAGCTACTCTTCTGTCATGAGTAGAGTTTTACACAGGTATTTCTTCAATAAATGTATGTTTGAAATCATTTGCCATTTCAAGACCTTTTTTTCTTGTATGCCTAACACAGGTATACCTTCTTCAAAGTACTCCCAGGAAATTATGACATAACAGCTTCCCATCCCTCTTGGACTCTGGAGCAGGTTGGTATATTGGACAAGCTGAATGCTATCTTAAAGTGGGTTAGAATGAAGGTGAAGCTAGAGAAATCAAGGAGCATTTCAAAAGCGAAAGGTGGGCTGTCGGATAAAAGCTTTGGTATAAATGATGAGCCGATTCCAACAGTGTTAGAGAAGCCAGTCGAAAGTCTGGGTAGGTGGTATGATGTAGCTCTTATTGTTAAAGAGCAGATTCAGGGCTTGAGACAGCAGGTAGCTGATGGGATTAAGAGCATAGAGGCATCAGGCCTCCCAGGCAAACTCAAACTGTGCTGCCTGCAGTTTGGTCTTTTGCAACAATTGTTATGGCCACTGACAGTGTATGATGTACCTATTTCTAAGGTAGAGCACGTACATTAGGAAGTGGCTGGGAGCTCCGAGCTGCCT